CGGAATATTATTGCTTTACTCATCGCGGCAAGGTTCAATGCCCTCCACGGTGCAGGCAGGCCTCTGCGGGATTTCCTCGCCGCTGCTGCGTCGCCGCCGCCGTCGCCGCAGAGTTCCACACGCGCGGCCCCGACTTGTATTTGTGTCAATCCACTGCTGGATGAGGGCCGGCCTACACCGCGTGGGGTCGTGGGAGTAACTTGACCGGACTTGGTTCACCACGCCGGTCGATGCGGGCTGGTGAATGCGGACAGCGATGCTTTGCGCTGCCCCTGCGCTGCGTCACACGTGGCCACCCAGCCTATGACGCCTGCTATGCACGGTGGTCACCCTCCCGAGGGCTATCCAGGCTTCAGGCTGCTTAGCTTCCAAGAGCTGACGAGTTCGAGTGAAATGTTGCTGGTGTCACAGCACGAGACGAAGACGTTTCCATGAGGAACTCTTGCAGTAAGCAGTGCACCACCCTGTCAGAGAACGTCCCCCGAAGATAACGTCACAAAGCTACTTACAGTTTCTAGTGCCTTTAATCGCCTCGTTATCCACACTAGTTGGGGGGGGGCGACTTTACATGCCTCGCGAAGATTGTGATTGTGAGCTGTCATCGTTGTTGACCGTGGCGAGACGATCGTCGAGTTGCTAAGCTTGAGAATCGGGTCTCAGCATTCAGACCCCCGAGATCTCAGCAGCGGCTCGGCGTCTCCGACGTGACAGCAACCTCTTGAGGAGACGGACTTATAACACGTATGGGTTTGTGGTAAGGGATCAAATTTGCCGTTTGCGAATGTGGCAATCATTGTCGGTGTCTCTGACACGCGGCCACGTGCCTATCGCCATGTTCAGGCGGACGGCAACTGCCCAACGTGGCACGCGTGCCAACAGCGAGGTCTGCAGCATGGCCTACTCTCAACACGAAACTTCACAACACTTGACACACATTCCGAGTGAACACGCGAGACCTCTAATGCACAATCTCACTCGTGGAGGAGAGACACAAGCAATGTGTTAAGTATACACACGTACTTAAAGTTTACATGTTCAACATAGTTTAACCAACCTTGGCTAGGCAGTGGAACGAGCAGAGCACTCAACCCGCAAATCAAAAGGTTACAAGTTCAAATTCTGGTCAGAAGGTCAACTCGTCCCCATCGTACCTCGATCAACACATAAACAATGAGTTGATGTCTTTATGAGTCGTACCACCACTCCATGGGCAGTGGAGCTTGTCCGTCCGATGAGAAAACCTGCCCCCCCCCCCCCCCCCCCCATGAGAACGAGGAATTCCCACCACTGCCTGAGTGACGCCAACAGGAATGAGCCTCGCCTCGAAGAGAGAGCAGGCGAGTCTTGTCGGACGCCACGGTGGCTCGGAGATGTTGACTACCTCGCCTGGTATACAGGAGGTCGTGGGTTCTATTCCGACACCGACGCCTGTCAATTCGGAGTCTGCGTGTCTCTCTCCCCGTGGTCAGGTGGATTTTTCTCCCGGACCTCCGGTTTTTCCCTTCACATTCAGAATCATGCGTTTTGAGTATTTGGCTGCTATAATTTTCCACGTGTAAATAAGCCACTGCGCTGAGCTGTCATTTGTGGCCAGGTCAGTGGGCCTTACCTGGTAAAATAATAAAAAGTGTATTATTTATCTCCACAATCCTGGTTCAGCATTTGCTTACAGGGTCCAGGGAGGGCACAATGGATCGTCCGTAACAGCAAACATCTAATCCATAGCAGATGCGTTGCGGGCTCTTTAGTAGAACCAACACGCGCTCGTGAATCGAATGCCCTTTAATTAGCTGAACGACTGAGGTGTGCTTTGTGCAGCCATCTGCTTTAATTAGCCACACGGTCATTACAATGAATGTTTAATGAGGTTGTTTTGTTCACGTGCACAGGCCTGTCGGTGACTGGTGTCAGCATATTTTGATAGCGAGGGTAAGTGCATTCACATGCACTCTTCACGTTACATTCCCTCACTGCCCTGTTGGTGGTTAGATGTGAACCACCTCGCCAGGTATGCAGGAGGTCGTGGGTTCGATCCCAATGCTGACGCCTGTATATCTGGAGTTTGCGTGTTCTCCCCGTGGTCGTGGATTTTTCTCCAGGTCCTCCGGTTTCCCCCGTCGCATTTAGAATCAACGTGCGTTTTAGAGTATTTGGCTGCTATAAACATTTCCACGTGATCAGCCACTTTGGTGAGTTATCATTTGTGGCCAGGTCGCTTCTGAAAAAAAGCTATATATAGCTCAGTCGGCCTTTCCTGGTAAAATAGTTAATAATTTTATCGTTTATTCTCCCACCAGATGGTGATGAAGATTCCACGGTGCAGTACTGTATGAGAGAGGCAGCATAGAATATTGATGCAACTACTAGAGAAATTAATACGATTCTTAAGACACAATTCTGGTCTTCCCCATCAGACGACTGGTCCTTTTGGACAAATTTGACAGAAACTTTTTTGTTCAAGCAACAAATTCAACGTGCAGCAGAATCTTCGTGCAATCGCTTCTCAAGACGCTTTACAAACGACAGTTATGCAAGGGATGCCAAGAGGCAAACGCCCACGAGGAAAATAATAAAAAGCACCCACCGAGTCTAACGGCTTGCCTAGTTCGAAGATCGCTCTGCTCTCATTGGCGACGAGCTGTCACAGGGGAAGCCGACGCAGGGAACACAATCGGAGTATGAAGGTGGAGAACTATTCAAATCGGATTGGTCATCAGGGAAAACTAAATGGAAAATTATGGGTCAGTTGGGATACCGTCAGGATAAATTATGGGGATTGGTGGAGAGACATGGAAAGTTCTAGAAAGGATGGGGAAGAGAAGAAAGGGTGGGAGAGACGGGATGGGGCACCTAAACGGAGTGATTCCCCATTGCGTGGCATTCGTACGTAGATTGAACTTCTTTCGCGCCGTACGTAACCAACAGCGCTAATCGGAGTGGGAACAAATCGACGGTGCGGGTTCTGTGCGGAAGCCATAATAAATACGAAGTTCAAGACTCACCCGGGCTGGCACTCCTTGACACGAGAAAGGCCCATTGCCCAATACCGCCCCTCAAGGCCGTCATTATCATATATATTGGGGGGGGGGGGAACACATACCCCCCAATATTCAAATATGCTCAAAATGTCCCCCCCAATATATTGCTATAAAATAGATTTTTGTTTATATGATTGTGGTTATGGTTGTACTTTATTAATCCCTAATCTCTGCCATTACATACAATGAAACAAGAAAAGGTAAAAAAGTAAAACAGAGCAATGTAATAAAATACACTATTAGACATTGTTGTAAAAAATAAATAAAAAGTCCATCCTATGTGTTAGTGAATTTTTTTTATATTTTAGGCAGGAAATTCATTTTCAAATTTAGATATTTTTCTGGGGGGGGGGACCCCAGACCCCCTGCAAGATTTGGTCCCCTCCAATGTTGACTCCATGGCTACGGCCTTGATGTCACCTATATAATAGCACTGGTCAACAAAAAAAACTTTTTTTTCTGGCCTGGACTCTTGCAGCTGTTTTAGACTAATTTCAGGGTGCTGATTCCAAATCTGATCTCAGATTTGCTCTATCACATCTCATTTTTATGCTATCGGCATACCCCATTTTCATTGATTTTACCCGAAATTAACTCTGTCACTTATGATTGCAAGTTGTTGCGAGTCAGTGACTGCTTTAGTGTTAAAATATGGTGCTGTATTTTTAGGATAGTGTGTTTATAATATAATTTTATGTAGATATCCACATTTATTACAATTTTTCTTCTGCAGTTTTTATTGAAAATGCAATATTTGATATCTCAAAAACCTGATGTGATAGACAAAAACTGATGCCAGATTTGGAATCAGCACCCCAAAATTACCTTAAAACCGTTGGAATACCTTATGCCAGAAAAAGTGTGTTGACCAGTGTTATTTAAGGCAGTGCTATTGAAGAATGTTGGTTTTGTTGTGCATCACATGTTAACATGTGACACTCGATTGGGGAGGGGACAGGGTAGAAAACGTGGGGTGAGAGAAGCAAGCAGCACAGCGCCAGGGTCCAGGATGACGCGATGACCGCCAGGGACAACCCTTCAACTCGTCCAAAAGAACCCTTTCGAGCTGGTTTCAGATTTCTACCTCTCATCAGCAGACCTTTTAAACACACGCCGTTGCCAGATGTTATTGGTGCGCTTTGTTACTGTGCCACCAACACCGCACTCCCACCCTTGAGGTTATATATTGTTTACTTCCGTTCATATATTGCTCGTTTTCCCTTTCAGACATGTAAATTCCCTTGCCAACACTATAATAAATGTTTGGAAGAAAAAAAAGTCCCACAAACTAAAGATGATACAGGGGGTGTGCCCGTTTAAAAGTTTGTATTTATATTTAGCAACTTCCTTAGCTTTCATAGTAAAAACATTTTTTTTAATCCTGCTTCACTATGCCAGCATAGTGAAGCAGGATTTCTCCACAAATCTGGCTGTCGCCTGATGAAGCTAGTTGTAATTACTGGCGAAACGTCGTACTCAGTTTGTAAATGTTGTGGATTTGCTCTCTAACACACCGGTTAGTGCTGTACTAGTAACGAATTAGCATGTTCTGTTTACGTGACAAACCTTACTAGTTGGCTGTGTCGGGTGGTGGCGTGTGTAACGGCATTTATATTTAGGCGATCTAACCCAAAAAAACTTACGTAATGGATAAATGTGTCGTTAACCCACCACCTCTCGACACAGCCAATTAGTAAGGTTTGTCACGTTAATGAAACGTGCCAATTATTTAGTACTTCAGAGTCCACTGGTGGTGTTGGAGAGTAAATCCACAACATTTACAATTTGAGTACCGTGACATTTCGCTGGCAATTACAGCCAGCATCATCGGGCGATTTGCCAGCATTGTGAAAAGATGTCCCACTGGACATCTGCGAAAAAGATCTTCATAGCTCATTGGATTCCGACAGTCTAAATAAAGATTCTTATTTTTTTTAAAATAACACATTTAGTGATGCAAACTTAAGTAAACAACCGGCTTTTATTGAAAGTTCGACGACAAATCTCAGCACGGACCTCAAGACATGCTGCATTTATAAAATGGGGGCCCCCCATATAACTTCATAAATGCAATTGACAGTGATGGCGTGTGGCTTCCAAACACCATCCAAAGACTTCCAGCTAATGGGGGCAAGCAGGTGGTCGTCCAGGGCCACCAGCAGTCCAGAAGGGTGTGTGCACAAACACAAACACAGATGACAAAGTCAATGTCAGACAAAAATGCAGATAAAGAACCTCACAGTTAAACGCAGTTTTGCACCAATACTTTGGATACGTTATGAAAACGTACGCATGGTGCATATAATATTGGAAGACCAACAGCATTTCAATGGTTTGTTAACTGCAAACCTAACACAAGCCGTACAATACGTGTGTTTATAAAGCATCCTGTAGCTGATTTTTGCAAAAGAAAAAACAGATTACTATTTTATGGCACCTTTTTGCCAGTATCAAAGTATGAAAAATAAGAATAGATTTAACCTTTTCTGGCAATAAAACAGGAAGTGTTAAGATGTTCTAAAAGCAAATAGAAACCTTTTGGCAGGAATCAAGTCTGCATTAACCACACGTACTTGTGGTGAGATACAAACAAACATGCTCTGGTAATAATGTGCATTCACCACAAGTGTGGTTAATGCAGACTTGAAAAAGGAATCATATTGCTGTTTGAACATGTTTTATTGTCAGAAAGGGTAAAATATTCTTATTTTTCATACATTACTACTTGTCATGAAAAAAAAGGTCAAGTCAAAAGGATAAATATACGCTATGTTTAAAATAATGACCGCGCACTTCAAATAGCGCAGTAGTTCAGCAGGGATACGAATGGGGGGGGGAACGCAAACTTCAATAAAATTAGAAATGCTGTGGCGACACTCGTGCATAAGCACGAATAACTAAAAAAACAGTCATCAATACCACTGCCATAAAATGCAAACACGTCAATTGTGCTATTAAGGGCAATTTCCCAGGATGTTACCTATTATACCTTTTCCCAACAGTGTTATTTAATAAAATGTATTAAGACGTTTCTGCTGGGCCCAAACAAGCAGACAGTGTCCACTTCAGACATTTTTTAAATCGGCAAAATATATTTTGACTGCCAGGCTACAGCAGCGGCACAGTCTGCCCAGTCTTCCTCAGGGGTTATTCGGGCCCACGCCAAATGTGCCGACTGCCACTTTAGTGGCATTGGCAGCCAATCACAAGTATCACAAGTATCATGTGAGCAGACATCCCTCCTGTCATCCGACTGCTGTAGAAGTCAATCAAATAAAACCCAGCTGGCCCCATGTTACATTATAATCACTTACTTAGGCTGTGTGTGTGTATCCCAGAGGGTTGCATTAACACTTTAAGATTAAGTTCGAAACATGTTAACAAGTGGCCTTTAAATACACTGCCACAGCGCCCTCTATTGGAGCCACTCGGATGAAACTGCTTGACATTACGCACACGTAAACATTGTAAATGTTGTGGATTTGCTCTCTAACACACCGGTGTGCTGTACTAGTAACGAATTGGCATGTTCTGTTTACGTGACAAATCTTACTAAGTGGCAGTGCCAGGTGGTGGCGGGTTTTAACGGCACATTTATATTAATGAGATCTAACCCCAAAAAAAAACGATATTATGGATAACGCACATTACAGCTGGTGGGGTATTTGCCTGCATACTGAGAAGCCCCACACTCCCCAGAATCCTTTGCATGCCATGTCTGTACTACATCCAGCTGTAAAGATATACATGCAGCTGTCAACAGAAATACAGCCCCAACACGAACCTACAGCCTTGACACCAACCCAGCCTCCACACTAACCCACATACAGCAAGTATAATAGAATTCCATTCATCTGGCTATGTCAGGGTAATACAAGTGCCGGATGGAGTCCAGCACATACACTACTGACAGCACTCCATGCTCCCAGGTCAAGCAGCAGTTCTCTATATAACTACAGGTAGTCCCCGACTTACGATGGAGATGCGTTATGACGACCCCATCGTAAGTCGAAAATATCGTAAGTCGAAGATGGCCTAGCCTACCCAGGAGTCTTAAAGAATGGTGATAATTTAGCAAAACATAGCAATTTACAGTACCGTACTGTATAAACTATGCGTACAGTACATCCAGGCAGCGTCCCAATGTACAGTATCGTACCTCGTGCGCTGCTGCGTTTGCCTGCCGCGCGAAATGTAAAATATTTTACTATTTTGTCATATCGCTATCGCCATCGTAAGATCGAAATATATCGTACGTCGGGGACTACCTGTATATACATTTTCATTACTGCAGGGCTGTGTATGTGTATCTGTTGAACTTCTTTCGGATGAATACTGCGTTGGTATTCAAGTTAATCCTGCTGTACCCCATTTTTCTGCGGGATAAGTTGCTCGTCGAGGACATAATCAACGGAGCACAGTAAACGTACCTGAGTTGTGGCGCTGAGTGAGGAATGTTAGCGGCTGGTCGACAGCAGGGCAATGAGACCGGCCGAGGAACCCATGGACAGGATGTAGTTTCTGATTGCAGGCATCACAGTCAAGGTCACAGTTGTAGAGTGGCCACAGGCAAAATGTTCATTTACATGAAGCAATACCCTACGTAAGGAGGTTTTGACAAATAAGAGCGGCTAAGATCAAAATACCCCGAATGCGCCCATTCTCAACAGATCTCAGAATTCAATAATACTATAAATAATTTAAACTTGTAAGAGAGAGAGAGAGAGGATGATTGGAGGCATGAGGAACCATAGACAAGTGGGAGTGCAGTCACGCGGAGAACCGGCACCAACAATTGCCCAGGCTCTGCGGTAGTCGACATGTACGCAAGTTGAACATCTTTCACATTGTACGCAGCCAACCAATGAATGGGTTTTTTACATGTGGGAGGAATCCTGAGCACTCTGGGAAAACCCAATGTGTGCGAGGGGGAAACACTATATCCCATACAGGTGGTATCCACTCATTTTTCCCCCGCCTACAGTGCTGCATGAGGCATGCATAGCCGCCGCCACCACCACCCAGAAGCTACGCAGGGGTGACCACCATGCACAACAAGTTGTCATAGTCAATAATGGGGCTCCATTATTGACTATGACAACTTGTGTAGCAAAATCCAAATCAGAATCTAAATCTTTGTCCTGGAGAAATCCAATTAACTATGAAGCTCATTTTCACAATGTCCATAGTTGTACTCTACTTATATGATCCCACATATGAACCTTATGGTGGGACCTCAGGATCCCATAAGCTCCCGGCTCTCGCATAAACATTATATTAAGTAAACAAAAACTTTGCTTTTTTACCAATGGGTTTGAAGGATGGTGGCAAGTGTTGTCTTGTAAAACTTTGCCTTTAAACCTGAAAACTGCTTACCTGCAGTACTTCTAATTAAATACACTATAGAAAAAATAATTTACACCCCTCGTCAATCGTGTTTCTCAATGTGGATTTGTGAACGCACTTTGTAAACAGTACATAAAATAGTACGCGTTTTCAATGCGTTGTTCATATTGTAACAAGCGTTTATACCAATGTTACTCTACGGAGTAGTGGGTCGCCGCTCCTCTTATCCGCATTGATACGAGCGGTATGTGAGGACTACGGCTGCACAGATGCATACGGACAATAGAAGTATTATCAAACAGGAGGAATTAACGGTGCGACGCATCTCATCTGTTAAATATCTGCAGGTAATAGGATTGTCATCGATTGATCCTGGCTGCACACATTGGTGGGTCACAAATAATAATGTAGATAAGAGAGCAGTTTCACCATATTATGCAAACCGTGATGACAAATAAAGGACTTAAGTCGTGTAGGCAGTTTGAGCAGCTTTGGATAAGACTTATGATCCTGCCCGTACCAGAGCATGGAGTGCATTCGCTTTTCAGCTCTTCTGCACATTCGTCCTCGCTGCTGCGCTTGGACACAACATGACAACAGAATGATCCGCGCCAGGTGGGTCGCGGCGTTTATGTGCGCGGTGGGACGGAGTCACCAAAAATTCATTAATTACGATTTTAACGTCCGTTTATTCGGGACCCCGGGGTCCCGCCATAAGGTTCATGTGCTCCCTGCCGTAGACACTGACCAGTGTGAAGTATGGTCAAATAAGACCCCTGACCTGCACGGCGTGGGGAGGCCCTCATCTAGCCGTGGATTGGCAAAAGGGATGTACGTGTACATTGCCAGCGTGAGAATCTATTTTAATTTCTTAAACCGATGAGTCATTTTAAGCTTTGCGTAAAATTCCAACGACCAAAGACTCCTTCGTACGAGTTCGCGGCTCAGCCCAGGCGGAGGGCCGGTGGACCCGAGCAGGAGGGAGAACCGGTGGGGCCAGAGGGCAGGGCAAGGATACACGGTGGGGTTGAAGTTCTTGAGCAGGAAGAACGAGGCGACAATGATGAGCACAAGGAAGAGGGTGTTGTTGTAGAAGATGGAGAAGGTGGTTGCCTCATAGTCCGCCACCTCGTTCTTCTTCCATAGGATCCTGCGAAGACCGGGGTTCCATCGCGAGAAAACAAGAGACCCCCCATTGAGAAATGATTCACAATCTCATTTTCATTCACCTTACTGGCACCACCATTGAGAAATTATTCACAATCTAATTTTCATTCACAAACCTTAATAGTACCCCCCATTGAGAAATTATTCACAATCTCATTTGCATTCACAAACCTTAATAGTACCCCCCATTGAGAAATTATTCACAATCTCATTTGCATTCACAGACATTACTGGCACCACCATTGAGAAATGATTCACAATCTCATTTTCATTCACCTTACTGGCACCCCCCATTGAGAAATGATTCACAATCACGTTTTCATTCACAAATTATTACTGGCACTGCCGAGGTCCCAGGTTCGAATCCCAGACAGCAGCCTGTGATTAAACCGGATTGTCTGGTGTAATGAGTTGATGGGTTTCAGCTTCGTCAGCAATGATTTGTGGGTTGATGTTGACGTTGTTTGTACCGTCTCACTTTTATTGGCCAACTCATTCGTTCCGTTTCATTTGTTCCAACCCGTGCACACATTTTCATAAATTGTCAATAACCGATTCTTACACAACTGAATACAAGCATCGTGACAGTGAGAATAGCTCAATACGAGTGGCGCATTACACACCTCTCGTCTTTCTCCTTCTTGGACATCTTCTTGTTGTCAGCCTCGGGAAGCTTGCGGAGAACCTCACGTGCCACCGCATCCTCTCGCTTCTGCACCACCCTGAGCAGAATGCACACCACCCCACGCGATTCAGACAACTCCCAGGCGATGCAGCACAATTCCATAAAACCAATCAAGACTATTCTGATGGGAATATCGTTTGCGTGAATAGAATGGACAACGGTGGTTAGTACTCTCTCTAGAAAAGTTAGCACCACCGTTTTATCCTTGTTATAATCATAAGAAGTACAATCTACATATTTAGCACTCTTCTTCAGGCATTTAAATGCACTTCAAGGAAGTCAACAGTGGCTGTCATAAGACAAGACTCATAGTGCAGTGGTTAGCACAATGCACTATGAAATCCAGCCAACTGAGTTTGATTCCTGGCTCCGTTGAACGCCATTGGCGAGTGATAATACCTCCGGCTAGCACGGTTGGCTATGTACGGTGCAAAAGAAATTCAACCGAAGCAGTCCAGCATCCCACTTCACCGACCCGCACTGACCAGCCTCAAGTTTGGCCAAACAACCCCACAATTGATACAAGGCGGTAGGCTTTCAACCAACAGTGCAGATATACATGACATGGGCCGGTTATTGCACAGTGCGGGACCCTCACTTGTGCTTCAGAATGAACTTCATGTTCTTGTAGGCCATGGCCACCAGCCACGTGCTCGCGATGGTCATCACGCCGAACAGCACGGCCGACTGGAACAGATCCATCTGCCAGATCCGCCAGTACAGCCCTGCAGGGGAAGGGCAACGCACACGCATGGACACCGCATAGGCAGCACATCTTTGCAAGAAGCATGCATGTGTGATGTGGTAAATGGAAGATCATAAAATATACGGTTTTTTTGGGTTAGATCGTGTAAATATAAATCTATGGTTAAACCCGTCACCATCCGTAACATCCAATTAGTAAGGTTTTTCACTTAAACAGAACATGCCAATTCGTGACTAGTACAGCACACCTGTGTGTTGGGGAGCAAATACACAACAAATCCCACCCACCATTGTCTAGAATGCCCTTGCTCAAGCCATCCATGCCCAAAATTGTATTATTTTTGTTCGCATCAAATTCATTGGGGAAAAAAAAAACACAAATTAATATTGTCTCCTGCAGTCATTGTTAATTCTGCCGAGACCAATAACTTACGAGACTTAGGAACCCGGTTTAATGACAGGCTGCCAAAACCCAGATACAAATTCACTATCTCAGTCATCGCTGATCAGTGCTCTGATGCCAGAGCCACTGTTAATAGAGGATGTTGTCATTGGGGGACTAATGTTCCTGTTACCCATAGATTGTAGTTGGTTGTGCAACCTATACATCCCAATGAGACCACATTACCTGCAACACAAGTCATAAATAACCCTAAACAATTTATGTTGTCTTCTTGGTTCTTTCGGTAAAGTCACGTAGAAGGGAAGTAAGAAAATAATAAAAATAAAACATAATAAAATTATTCTCACGACGTTTCGGCCACAATGCAAGCAGCCGTCCTCAGGTGAAAACCAGGTCCGTCGAGGCGACAGAGTCTGAATGAAACAGCACACGAGCTTGGAGCATATATGGTTCTTTCCGTTTCATTCAGACTCTGTCGCCTCGACGGACCTGGTTTTCACCTGAGGACGGCTGCTTGCGTTGTGGCCGAAACGTCATGAGAATAATTTTATTATGTTTTATTTTTATTATTTTCTTACTTCCCTTCTACGTGACTTTACCGAAAGAACCAAGAATATGAATCCATGCAGTCACGAAAGCTTTAAATCGAAATTTTACCACGTTCTGTCTGCTAATCGTAACCAAACGGACGCGACTTTCAAAGTAAATCATCTGCGTCGCTAACTTGACTGTCCACGTGGCTGGCCGGGGAGGAGGGGGGAGTAGCATGTCCGTGTCAGCAGAGCCAAGTTATCTTTCGCTTCAGGTTCAACAGCCACGACCACGAGAGGCCCATTAGCATAGCGTCATCAACATGAACACGGCGTCGTCAACGTTTACCGACACGATGCTCTTGCCGAGATGTTAACTACCTCGCCTGGTGTACAGGAGGTCGTGGGTTCGATCCCGTCCCTGACGCCTGCTGCTATATATTTGGAGTTTGCGTGTCTCTCTTTCATCATCACGGTGGCTAGGAGATGTTAACTACCTCGCCTGATATGCAGGAGGTCCATGGGTTCGATCCCGTCCCTGACGCCTGCTGCTGTATGTTTGGAGTTTGCGTGTCTCTCTCATCATCATCACGGTGACTATGAGATGTTAACTACCTCGCCTGGTATACAGGAGGTCGTGGGTTCGATCCCGACCCTGACGCCTGCTGCTGTATATTTGGAGTTTGTGGTGTCTGTCTCTCTCCCCGTGATCGCGTTGATTTTTCTCCGGGTCCTCCGTTTTTTTCCCCTCCACATTTAGAATCAACATCACGCGTTCAGAGCATTTGGCTGCCGCTGCTATAACTTTCCACGTGATGATCAGCCACTTCGTTGAGCTATCGTTTGTGGCCAGGTCGCTGCTGAAAGAGAGCTACGTCGCTCAGTGGCTTTTATCTGGCAAATTATTAAAAAAAAGTTTAGTTTATTTCACACGGGTGAAGATTCAAATTAATAATTCCCACCGACGCCAAACTCTCAGCGCCAACGTTCCCACACGTGGCAATGAGAAACAGACCGAGGATAGACACCGAAAATCAACAAAATCCATGTGCCCATAGAGGAACGCGTTCGATCACCGCCATATGGATCGGTACCACAGGGCCCACAGACTGGACGTGGCAAAAGGGTTATTAATTAAAAAAATGATTTTACCGTCGCCAAACCGTCTAAAAAAATTGCCACAAACTTTTCTTTGAAGAGCTATTTCTTTCAAGAGTTGAGTATTAATTTCAACCAAAAGCGACTAAAGTTAACAGTAGCTAAAGTGAAGATTTCATTTTTTTTGCACCCCCATTTAAAAGTCGCAATTACAATTCCTCACGCGCTTAGGCGGTGCCAGGAGCGAGGCGCGCTCCAATTGGGTGAGGAGCGCCACCTCGACCGACAGCCAGCCAATGAGAGACGGCGACATGTCGCGTTTGCCCTATCCGTACTAGTAAATACAACGCCCGCCTGATGAGTTTATATATATTTTACATTTCTTAAAATCTCAATTCGCGACAGGAGCTTTCAACGCTTCTGCCCAAAGCACGCGCTGGCTCAGTTTATTATTTTGCGTGTTACTTTCCTCGCGAGTGAAAACACCCCACCGAGGAAAAATGAAAAAGTAAACCCCCACACACACACAAAAATCTCTCCTCTCTCACTCACAGATGGGAATGGCCGACACGATGAAGGCGTTGCCGTAGAACAGCGCCGCCGACTTGGTGGACACGGAGCGGCTGAAGTCCTGGAGCAGCAGCTCCTCCTCGGAGGCGGCTCCGCGGCCGCTCTGCTTGGGCGCCATGGTCGACGAGGGGAGCGTCTGGACGACTTCTGCTGCTGCTGCGGCTGGAGGAAGGAGGAGGAGGAAGGGGCGAGCGAGAGAGAGAGAAGTCGGCAAAAGGGGAGGAGAGGTCCGTCCCCCGACTCGCGTCAAGCGAAGTGCCGCGTCAACGTTTCGCCGTGAGGGGGGGGGGGGTGAGACGTCATCGGGACGCGCGGTCTTGTTGTGAAGTGTTGTGAAGCGGCGCGGCCATCTTGGGTGAGGGGGTTGGGTGAGTTCGGCACGCGCAGGATTTCGCGACTAACATCTGGGGGGGGGGGGCGGGGGGGTTTGATCGCGTAAATGTAAATACCCCCCCCCCCTTTATCGTCGAGAAAGGGGCGTGGCGCTATTGTGACGTCACGGCTCGCTCGGCCTTCGTTGGACGGACGCGCGCCGCGTGCCCCGAGCAAGATGGCCGCCGAGTGCTTCGGTGTCGAGTGACGACTACGACTTTAAGTTAATAAATAAACAATGTGGCTTTACTGTGTGCTGTGCAAATATTACTGTAACAACCGTACAACGATGGTGTATTGTACAATATTGCAGGTACGACGGCGTACTCTACAATGGTGTACAGTATTAAGAACATGTAAATTAAATCATTTACGTCCAGCATTCTGGGAAATACGAAATTGTGTTGGTTTTTTAAGGGTCAGCCAGGCAGCTCATCCGTTTATTTAAAAAAAATTCCAATGGGAGTGACACTTAAGAAAAAAACATTTACTCTTTGGTTCTTTCGGTAAAGTAACGTAGAAAACCAAATAATTATCATTATTAATAAATAGAGTAATTCCTGCAGTCACGAAAGCCTCGAATCTAAAAAAAACATTTAAGTTCTTAATCGTCGGCCAATAGTGACACGCTCCGATTCGTCGGAGTCACGAATCCCAAACGAATCGATTCGGACGTAGTTCGATCCAATCTCCACAGTACAGAGCTTCGATCCCGCGAGGCACTCGGCGATTCTTCCGCGGATCGATTCCTCAGCGCAGGAAACCCTTTGCGCCTACGGGACATGGGGGGGGGTGTGGAATCGATTCCCTTAAAATCTCACCGAATCGATTGCCTGGCACGGGGAAGGCAACGTAAGGGCTGCTGGGCGATGGCGGCCGGCGGCGTGGACACGAAGCAGGGCGACTTCGAGGAGGACGCCTCGCAGCTGCAGTTCCCCAAGGGTGAGCCGCCCGGGGCGGGGGTGGCAGCAGGAGGGGTTGACACGGGAGCTCAAGCCCGGAGAGAGCGGCATGAGGGGTCTTGGATCTCCAGATCAGCCGTGTTACGTACCGCGTGTGTGTCTTGTAACTTCTTTCGCACCGTACGTAGCCAGCCGCGCCAATCGGAGGTGCGGGGAGAGGATAACTACACTAAGCATAACGAGAAGTTCTAACTAAATTACTTTGCATTGAGTCACACAGTCTCCGACTCCGATTATCCATTCTGTCTGGCCTCGATGTTCACGTGCTATGAATAAGGACCTTTGCCCGAAACGTTGCCTGTTATATGTTTTTGTTAGTTTAAGACCATTGGTTGTTGACGAATGTGTCGAGTCGTGGAGTTCATCGTCCCACGAGGCTCAAGAGATGATGCCAGTAACACACATCAGCGGTGTTAGCCGATATAATAAAAAATGTACAGTTGATAATTGGTTTTTTACCCTTCTATCTGGCAACAAAACTGACACACCTTTTTTACAAGGAGTCATGTTTACATAGACCACAATACCTGCAGTCATAATGCAAACAGATAGAAGGGTAAAAAAACAATTAGATTTTTACTGGCAAATGAGGTTCCAATGGTGTAAATGCTTAGCCCGAGCTCTCATACTCTGATGGTGCATTGTCTTTGAGTTGTGCGCCTTTTGGCGTCATCTGGTCCAACACCATGTGAGACTAGGCTCTAAGGAAAGCTGTCTCGGGTGTGGACCAATCAACTTCAGGGACAGTGCATATATTATCAGAGTTATGTTTTTTGTTTGCATTATGACTGCAGGTATTGTGGTCTATGCAAACATGACTCCTTGTAAAAAAGGTATCAGTTTTTGTTGCCAGATAGAAGGGTAAAAAACCAATTATCATATTTTTACTGGCAAATGAGGTTCCAATGGTGTAAATGTACAGTTGTTGCAATGCTTCGTACATGTTATACAAATGGTAATTTACTCCCTCTGGTTCAATTTGATGTGGTTATGAGAGCCACCCGTTGTGATATTTTATGTTCAGATGGAGGTGTCTTGTTGTCTAGCCGGGCTGTACATATCTAGGTCATTGTGTACTGTAGATGTCTTAAAGTGTGTGTTTACACATGTGTAATGTATGTTCGCACCGTACGTAGCCAACCGTGCTAATTAGTGGTGCGGGGGAAGGATATCACACTACACACAGAAAGCTGTTCTAAAGAAATTAGTTTAAAATTTAGACGATTTAAAAGTGCTTTACTCCAGTGGCTTCCTTACATCGGAAGGAAGAGCGTTCCAGACGGCCGCAGAGTCGCAGCTGTGTGTGGGGGGAGGAGCCACCGCTATGGGGCCGTCCATAAATGACGTCACGCGATTTTTGAAGATTTTTTGACCCCCCCCCCATCGTCACACGGCGTCATAAAAAGTCAGACCCCCCCCTCAAATATGACGTCACAAAGCTCTGCTCCCCCCAAAAAAAACACGTGCTCAAATCGCTTTAAACTATTGTCATTGTAGTGCGTATTTAATGTGGCGCTGCACTCTGATGTTGTAGGAGAAAACATTTATTAAAAAGTCTATTTAATTAAGAACCCCCCCCCCTCGTCACACATCGTCACAAATGTCTGACCCCTCCCTCCCCCCTAGGCGCGTGACGTCATTTATGGACTGCCACTAACCATCAGTGGCGAGTGATTATGTTAACTGGTCCTGGGCCTTCCTGAGGTTGACTCGGCCTTCAATGAGCACCTCGTGCAGGACACACCACTCCCTCGTGCGTCGTGCCCGCCTTTATAGGTGCTCGCTAAAAGCACTTGCCCCAACAGTTTATATAGGCAGTACCAGGGATATCGCCACATTATAATGATTAACTGTCATATGTGCCTGTGGCCAAATTGATCAAATCCCCTGGACTGCAACCGATCTCGGACGCTAATCAGTACTGAGCCTGGGTGTATGTTGAACTTCTTTCGCGACGTACGTAGCCAACCGTGATAATCGGAGGCGCGGATCGTGCTCGGACGAGTGACCACCGTGCATAACGTGTTTATCAGTCTGCAGGAATACGTGGTGGGCAGAGCAGCAGAGTCTTAGAGCGACGCTTTTTCATCGATGGTCTCTGAGGTTGCCGCTTTTAATCCCGCGAGGGGGGGGGTTCTGTGAATTCCGCGCAGAGTTTGAGAACGCGGAGACGCTGCTCATCTCCGAGGTGCACATGCTGCTGGAGCACCGCAAGCAGCAGAACGAGAGCGCCGAGGACGAGCAGGAGCTGTCCGAGCTCTTCATGAAGACGCTCAACTACACGGGCCGCTTCAGCCGCTTCAAGAACCGCGAGACCATCGCCAGCGTGCGCAGGTAGACTGCCTCGCCCCGGATCGCCTCATGGGAACAACGAGGGAGCCACTGTCACTCAAGACACGTTTGTTTTTTACGGGAATGAGAGTAATGTGCGGAGTGCGTGATCAGTAGGTCGTAGGGGTCGATATAGTAAGCGGCTAGTCTATGCGGAGACCGTATACGTTGTTCCACTGGTTTAAATGAATGACAAGTCATATTGAAGGTTATGTAGTTAATTATGATTTATATTTATGGTGTGATCCAACGCTTCACTTTATCTGCCCTGACACTGCTAATATTCTCTACCATTAAAATAGCCTGGCATGAGACATGTTGTAATGTTTCAAAATCTGTGGGAGCCATTGAATCTTAATGGGATTTCCCATTGCATTAAATTTGGTTTGTGGTGAGGGTCAGGTCTGTTGGACAGGCTGTTCTATAATTTTTCTAATGATTTGTATACGGATTCTAACACCACCAGTGCTCAATGTATGGATTGTGACACACCCAGTGAGCACATCACTTTGGCCTCCCTGATGGCTACTTGTTGTTGCTGTGGCTCCCGGACCCAGTTTGCTGCTGCAGAAGAAGCTGCACAAGTTTGAGCTGGCGAGTCTGGCCAACCTGTGTCCTGAGACAGCTGAGGAGGCCAAGGCTCTCATCCCCAGGTAGTTGCCTGCGTTATCTGCTAAGAACGGGGCTCGAGGCGTCTGGGTGGCTCTTGAGGTCAGAGTGCTGAGCTGGCACCAACCACTTAGAGCCTGGGTTCGAGTTCAGGCTGTTGCCTGCGATTACGCCAGATTCCTGAGTTTAGCGAGTTGATCGTCTCGGTCTGGTCACCAATGTATTTTTATTGCATTTAGTTGTCCACTTCATTGGACTAAATTTCATCTCTGAGAATGAAACGTGTCACTTTTACTGTGATGAGATGAACATTATTCTCGGTGGCAAGGCAAATGGAAACGTGATTCCCACACATGTCATCTACAGTGTACTGTGTAGAGGGCATCTGAAGGAATCTCAGAAGTAGCTCTGTGATGGCCACTTCTGTGGGCTGTTCTCTAACATGTGTGCGAGATATCCGAATGGATATTTTACATGACTGATAGCACAATCGGGGGATACAATTGGAGAAAATAATATGTATATAAATAAACCCCCTGTTTCGTGCTTTCCTATCTCACCCCTACTTTAGTGGAGTTTCACGTAACGCATGTGCACCTGTGCAGGACATTCTCATCTGACTTCAAATCCCGTGTTTTTACTTTCCCCGTCTCTTGCTACCCATGCCGTGCATGAACGCTGGCCATTCGCAGCCTGGAGGGTCGATTCGAGGACGATGAACTGCAGCAGATACTGGACGACATTCAGACGAAACGGAGCTTCCAGTACTGAGGTGGATGGCAGAATTGCAAAGTCACCTGACGTCTCACTCCGTACACCACTGCCTGATGATGTAAAAAAAAAACGCATCTTCACTGAACGCGTTCAACTGAGTGTATACTTGTTTAACACGTGGCTTTGTTAAAAGCTGGTGGGGGGTGGGGATGAGCAAAACAAAATAAAATTGTCGAGATGCAGCAGCGAGAGATTTAATCTAGAGATGCTGCTTTAGAGGAGATAGGGGTACATGGAATGGGAACATTTGTGAAGGCAAATTAGCCAGATACATTTGCCTGCCTCAAACGAAAATGCAGCCCTTTCATTACAGGAAGGAAAGTACTTATCACCTGGCTAATACTTTGTATATATGGGTGCAAAATGTTGCATATAAAAAATTATCGAAGGGTCCTGCATTGGGCTTTTATTTTAAAGATGTTTTCAGCCAATTAATGTTTATTGATACAAGTGGGAGGAAACCCACGAGTGCGAGGGCACAACACTCTTCCCCAATACAGATGGCAACACATGGCGGTGAGTCTAGTACCGATCTATGGCGAGCCAGGGTACGGCACTTCCTCGACGCCCATGGGAAGAGAGTCTCGCAACATCTGTGCGATCCTCCGACCCTCGCCCCCACAGTGCTGCATTACAGGCATGCGCTACCACCGCCCAACTCGGTCAATCATCCTGATGAAGTCTATAAGTATGAACCACTGTTGAGAAAATTGCTTTTCCTATGGAAACGTTGAATTTCCACAAAAGCTTAGGGTCACTAATTGGTGATGATCGTACCACTGATACTAGCACCATTGGGTTTATCGTTCAATCGCTATCAATCCAGCATTGAAATGTGTGCACTGCAGTGAGTTGCCGGATCGCTTGTGGGTAGACGTGATCACCTTGCCACCGAGTACAGAAGAAACTACCCTCAACTACAGTGGTCCTTTGTCGGGGTCGAACCCACAACATCCTGTATACCAGGTGAGGCAGTTAACATCTCGCCACCACGGCGCCCAATTTTTCATCATTAGTTCATTAAAACCAGGCTGCATAGAATGATATTCCCCAATTGAAAAACCACAGGTGATAGGGAGCCGGTTGAACATTCTGCGATGTGTAGCAGTGGTGGTTGACGCAGATCAATACCGTAATCAAAGACATTCTACATCCGTCACCGTCGCCTTTTATCCATTACAAACATTGGTCGATTATTAAGAAATGTATTTGTATTTCTTTGTGATAAAATAAAGTTCATTGGTCATGCCTCGGGCAACTCTAAAGACCGTTGCCAGAATGGCTGCGCAGAATGCAGTCCAGGTTTTTCTTCGTGTGTTACATCACAGTATTTACTATTCAGTACAAAGCAGTTTTATGGGAATGTCACCATTTTTGTGAAGTTATGAAGATTTTCTGAACGACTGAAAAGTGTAAATTATTCTATTTCTTACATTTGAATAAAAAAAAAAATTTGTTCGCAACATTTGTTCGTGTTGTTCTTAGTGCGTATCCACTCGACGGCAAGACACAACATTTTATGGATTGCAAAGAATTTTATTTAAACCTTCAAATCGCAAACGTGAACTAAGCCCAGTTGTGACGGTGTGAGGCCCACATCAACATCAGGACAAGTGTCAGGACATCGTCACCTTAATGAGGTTTAAATCACCGTCACTGACACGCGTCTTGTATATAAGGGGGGCAATCGGCATCAACACACGTTGGGTCGTACGTAGGCATGTAATGAATGATTCGTCCATTACAATGGAATCCTACCTTCAAGGTACATCCATTGAGTCGTATATATGTAACAGCAGTATTTACTATTCATGCAAATCAAATGCAAGTGTTATTTTTAGGCTAATGGAACGAATGAAAAATTTTGAGCAGCATGAGGCTACAATTCGGGCAGAACAAACGAGACAGTACAACTGGGATCGCACATAATCGATTCTTAAATGGAAACCTTGCACAAATTGCGATGCTTCATATAATACTATTAAACAAATTATTAGATTTTTATTTTACCAGGTAAGGCCCACTGAGCTATGTAGATAATAATGTAAACCCATGTTGATTCTAAATGTGGAGGGAAAGGACCCGGAGAAAAATCCATGCGGCCGCGAGGAGAACACGCCAACTCCAAATCTACACGCGTCAGGATCTGTATCGGACCCACGACCTCACCGTGGCGATGATATTGGAATGAGGTCAAAGGCACCGCGGCGCTGCATGGTGGGCAGTTGTTACGGGCCCGATTGTGAGCGTCTACTTTTGGATATAACGATATTCCCCAGGTGCAGTGGAATACACGTCTTGTACAATATTCATGACGGGGGGGTGTAGGCACTGGTGGGGAGAGCGTCAGGCGAATGATTGGTGTGTGGGCACATCGGGGGGCGTGGGGGTCGACCGACGTTGGATCGGGCACCCAGCAGTCGTCAACCAGGGAGAAGACCTGAAGCCCTAAAACTCGACAGCAATGGAGAATAGCTACACCGGACCAGATGGAAGGAAACTGGTCAGGCATTGGTGGGGGGTGTTGTATATGTTGGGTTAAGAAAATTTGTTATGTTGTATGCGTGCGTGGGTGAAATTATTATGTTGTATATGTGGGTTATGAATATTCAGTGAAAATAATAATAATTAAATGAAATCTGGCCAAATGTGTAATTATCCGAAAATATGTTAATTTATGTAATTACGCACATTTTAATTATGCCAATTCGAGAGGTAATCGTATTAATTATGCGAGTGGGTGTAATTATGATAATGCAAGTCGTTATGATAACCAGACCCCGGTTCACCCCGTTATCGCTTTAACATTTACTGAGTATGTATTAGTGTGTTTATTAAGGTCACCAAGTTCAAATCTCAACGCAGAAGCAGATCTTATGCATAGATTTCAGGAAATAATCACACAACCACTTCTGTATTGATCAATTTATTACTAATTCAACCTTAACTATGATATAATATGCGAACTCTCAATCCCGGAACGTCAACACGGCATCAATACAGTATCATCAACGATTGTCTGATTTCACTTTGACAACTGCACATGGATCCCGCATAACGCGATGGTTGTTAGTGAGAGAGAGAGTCGTTAAAACACGCAAATACTATGCTAAGAAAACCTTAATGTTAATGAATGATTATACTCAATATTGTTCATAACGCGATGGTTGTTAGTGAGGGAGAGAGTCGTTGAAATATGCAAATACTATGCTAAGAAAACCTTAACGCTAATGAATGATTATACTCAATATTGTTCATGCAGTACCACACTCCTTATTGACCATACGCAACCCTTATCACGTTGTTAACACCTTGGGTCACGGGACAGTTGAATATTCTGTAGAGGATGCGAGTACGTGCGGCGATTATGACTGAAAGATACTTGAAAGATTATACGGCGATAAAACACAATCAAAAACAGTTATTATTCTTAAAGGCACCAATCTCAACAGATACATCGGCAGGTTATCTGACAACAGAACGGCCCGGAGTAAGGGCCTGCGACGGTGCTCCTTTTCCGAAGCTCGTTATCTTATACCAAGTTTACTAATTGGGGACCAGATCACCTGATAAGGATCCGGTGGGCCACCACTCCCCACGTGAGCGTGGCTCGGCGGAAGGAGGTGCCAAGAATCAGTTCGTATTGATGGATCTGTTGGGAATTTATGCGATTAAGAGTACAGCCCACTAAATATTAAAGATAAAAATTAAGAATACTCTTATAAACGACGGAGGGCCATCCCTCGGTCTCGTTGTGATGCTTTCCAGCCACGGATGGCTTATGGGTTCGAGTGTTTTTGAGTGGTAAGAGTTGTCTTGAATAGTCAGTGTTCGGAGTCGATTCTTTAGGTCAAACAGACGCCTGGTGGTCGTGTGGTGAGGGGGCGGTGCGCGTCATACGTATCAGTTGATCCCGTGGCGAATTGGTTCGGATGGCTGTTGATACGCTGTCGCAGTTCGGAACCCGGTCGGTAGGTGGCGCCCACAACTCGCTCGTAGCGTGCAGCTCTGGGTTGTCGCCGATCCGCGATGCTCACCACTCCGGTGGCAGCAGAGACCCCCGATTCGGCAGAGGTTGACGAGCTGAAGATGAGTCGAGCCGACCCGCTGGTCGCAGCTCGCTCCTGAGTCGACCCTCCCGGTCGAGCTCGCTCCTGGGTCGACCCGCTGGTCGCCCTCGCTCCTGAGTCGACCCTCTGGTCGCACTCCTGAGTGGACCCGCTGGTCGCACTCCTGAGTGGACCCACTCTGGTCGCACTCGTTCCTGAGTCGACCCTCCCGTCGCACTGATTTCCAATGCTCAGGATCCTTTACTTTATGCCGAAAATTCCCCCTGGATCCCGCCCACAAGGCGGGACTTCTTTCGATTTTTTTTTGTGTCAGGATCTGTCCGTAGGCAGGTGTGTCCATGTGTGTGTCCGTACGTCCGTGTGTCCTTGTGTGCATCACTGACGGTATATTCCGTTGTCACACTCCCTCCATAAAACCCACGAGCAAACAATCAGATGTTACAAATTGCCTCGAGGTCGTCTCTCTGTCTGGGCGCAACATTATCTCCTGTCTGGCCTTCCCCATGAACCCAAAACACAGACGTCACAAATGTCTCATAGGCGTCTTTGTTCGCACCACCTGGAGGGAGGGGCAACGCTCTCTCCGACCCGGCGCACAAAGAAATGGCCAAAAGTTTTAAGTTAACATTTGTCCCTTACTATTTCACAGCCATGATTCCGCATGTAACCCAAGGTCTGTCGTTTCCCATCGTGGTGCCCGACCCAAGTGGAGGCGTCTCCCCGAGCGTACACACACTCCCATCCCGCGCTGCGGGGATACAAAGACGGCCGGGATCTCCCTTTCTCTCCGACCCTGGGTTTAACATCGTTTTTTATTATGTATTTATATTCGACCTGGTGGTGATTCATCCCGTTATCCTGGCTTTTCATAAGTTTTACTTTTGTCTTTTCATGCATATGCTTCGGGTCGAGTTGTATAGAAAGCATTAAAGTATGGAAATAACATTTCATATTGACTTAATGATGGTGATGGTTCAGTAGGCGTACTTGTGACCTGGTTTAATTGGAGTGGGTGTGAATATCAAACTTTAGCCTACCCTGTTGTTAAATTCCGACTTTAACGTTACTTTAATAGCAATACAGAATAATTGAGCTTTTTGTCTTAACTAGGCGAACGCGAACTTCTGGTGACCCCCGCAGCCGTGTTATTTAGCTGGGTCTGCCCGCCTTGAGAGATATACAACACTTTTTTTAAATCAGCTCTCCCCTGTCCCTCCAACCTTCTGCTCTGGGAATGTTATTCTTAATTTCAGGTCCAAGGCCTCTTTGGGTTTATCTTTGTTTCCTCAGCTGCAGGAGAACAAGGCGTGCTTCTACCTCCCTTTCTGTGTGCACGTGTTCTAATTAGCTCGGAATCCCTAAACACACAATCAGTGATGATTCCTGGCTTTCTGTGGTTGTGACTTAGACAAAGGCGCCTCTGCTTCCTTTCACTGCCTTTGCCTTGAAGCAAGGTTGCAAATTCTGTCATCCTAGCCCTCCTCTCGTTCATTACTTAACAACACCTGGTGTTTTGCAGTTTGGTGCGCTTTGGTGTGTTTCACTCATTAAAAAAACAAGTAAAAAGATAATATATAAAAATCATCAAATATTATTAATCTCAATTATGGAAGAAGGGTTAGGATACAACATTCCGCCCTTTTAAAAATGACCAGTGGTCAAATGGCCACGGGTTATTTTTAAAAAAATGTATACCCTTCTTCCATCATGAACCATCGATTGTCCTCAAGTTTTGCTGCTATTCCTTACAACGCGCGCGTACGTGTCACAACTTAACATGGTTATATTTGAATTGAGCAAAGAAAATTAAACAAGCGTTAAACATCGATATTGCGTTACATCGGTTCTGATACATCATGACTCCGACGAATATTCATTTTTGTTTTTGTTAAATCCTGGGAAACGCTAGGTAGCGGTTTCGAACGCATTTATGCGTTACCTTCCTCATGTTGCCTCGTTCACCACTTATCACTTCGATAATTCGATCACGATTTTCGGGTTCGTTTTTGTAGTTTCCTCTCTCACTCTCTGTGTCGTGGGAGTGTGTGGTGAAAAATTGTGCTGCACATAACCAGAATTCGCGCACACGACCCACTTTGACACTTGGTTCGAGGCATTCGCTCTCTCTGCGATTACATGCACATTTGCCGAGTCAGTGTGTCGATTTAATTCTGTCCCTCGTAATGTTGCCCTCTTTGTTTTTACTAGTGTGTTGGATTTCAACACCATTCCCGATACGTCATGGACATTCGTCTCCATTTTAGCACTCCGATCCACATAATTTTTGGTTTCCCTTGGATATTTTCCATTCAAAGGCTCATGCCTGCGCTCCTCAGGGCGTGTCCCTGCTGTCTGTTTTTGTACTGTCCGATCACGCTTC